ACGCCGCCACGTCTGGGCCGCTCTACCTCATCCTGGATGACAACTTTTACTACCAGAGCATGAGATACGAGGTGTACCAGCTGGCTCGAAAATGTAATTACTCCTTGTTCCTATGCATAACGACTTTTTCAGCTTTCTAGGAAGCTCGGTGTGCTTTTGCTGCCTTTCTTTACGTGCTCTTGTGAAACATTTGCCATTAATTGCTAGATTCCTACAGTATAGTAAAAATCGACTTCACTACCGTATTATTAGAAATAGCTCAATTATAGTTCAATATATTAGAAATTGATCTCAGAAATTACTCCTTGAGCAGCCTTGAAGGTAAAATATTTGGTATTCTTTTTAGGCTCAGAACTAGCATAGAAGTTACTCATTGATGTAAAGCCTTTTGCGTACACGTCGCTCTCAAATTTTTACTTGAACTGTTCAAAGGTAAAATTGTTTATGTTCTTTTAGATTCCTTGAGCTTCTGCCAGTTATTTTTAGAGTGTCCGCTTGAGTGCTGCTTGCAGAGAAATCGTCTCAGAAGTCACCCGTTACCTGACCAGACAATATATCTAATGGCAAGAAAAATAGAAATGCCCGATCTCAAGAAAAACGCTTGGGAACGGAACAGCCTCATTCTGAAAAGTTTGGATTGCACTTCAGAGGACGAGTATGTTACTGTATTGACACTCGGGTTTTCACTAAGTACTGTTTTCCCTAAACAAGTGGATAGAAGCTTTTTACTAAACAGAATGTGAAGAATATTCCGCATGGTGATTTTTGGAAGCCACACAACAGAAGCCAATTGTTGGTAACTCACAGCCATTGTTCTTTGCAGAGTTAACCTCAGAACAAACTGTACTTCTAAACTGTTGTTGAAATTTTATGTAAATTATCTGAAACATTAAGACTTGAAATAATTGGCTGTAGTTTTAGATGTAATTGCTTTTCATTTAACTGGCTGTATAAAGATTATTTCATTGATTGCCCTATAAATTTAACTGAAAACTCACATTTTTTTTCTGTGATGAGGTGTCATTACAAAATGAAAGAAAAATCTTCAGTGAAACTGTTTGATTAATGTGGTTTACTCTTTTGTTTCTTTTCTTAGTGAGCAGGTAATTAGTTTGCTGGCCTCTGCTTTGGAAAATCCAGTGAAGCAAATCGAGGAAAATACTGAGCAAAAGGTAGCCCTGCTTGTCTTCACAGCCACAGCTCTTTCAGCTGATGGTGGATGAGTTAGTTATCATAGAATGGTTTGGGTTGGAAGGGACCTCAAAGATCATCCAGTTCCAACCCCCCTGCCATGGGCAGGGACACCCTCCACTACACCAGGTTGCCCAAAGCCTCATCCAGCCTGGCCTTGAACACTTCCAGGGATGGAGCAGCCATAAACTCCTCTGGGCAACCTGTTCCAGTGCATCACTACCTCTTATCACTTACCCCAGTGCATCACTACCCTCATTGTAAAAAATTTGTTCCCTATATGTAATTGAAATCTCCCTTCTTTCAGTTTAAAGCCATGGCCCTGGCATGACAGAAATTGAGAAACACCCATTACGTTTCTTGATTGCACAAGCACACACAGGAAAGTTTGTCCTCTTTGAAACAGGAACTTCTGTCACCTGATTAAGTTAAACCACCGAACTGCCTTTAAGAATACTGCTACATGTACTACAGTAGTAAAAAAACTGTCTTTTGGAGACGTCACATCACACTGAGGACAACAACATTCGCTTCCTGATGTTGCTGTTCCTTCTTCCCACAAAGAATCTGACTCTGTCAGGCACCCGGATACGCACACCCACCTCTGAATTCAGAGAAGCAGACACACATGGTGCCAGTCACCGAGTTGCTGCTAATGCACTCCTTGTTTTCAAAGAGCACTTCAGAGCTGGTGACAGTCTGAATCGAATGTAACGTGTTTACTTGTGTTCTTCTTTCTGTTGGTCACCCTGGACAGGAAGCAGATCGAGCAATCTGTGCCGCCAGTGCTGTCCATCAGGCTGATCAGACATGCAGACGCATCATCTCTCAGGCAATGAAGGACGCAAAAGGTACACACAACACATTCCCAATGAACTTCCCTTGGGGTAAATTGCTAAGGAATCCGAACCCTGCAGGTGTAACCGAGGCAGTCCCCTTCAGAATTCTGGTCAAAGTTAGTTATAGAATGTGAGTCAAAGTCTGTAAATTTTGTCTTTAGACAAAAAAAGTTGAGCTTTAATTTTCTTTTAGATAAAAACATACTCCCAAGTGAGATGAAGAGCCTGGCAGAAGAACTCAACAAACTTAAAGCAGAATTCCTGGAAGACTTGCGGCAAGGAAATCATTGGAAACACCAGATTTGTATACAAAATCAGTGTTTTGACCCTGCTACAAGTGTAATTTCTTCATTCCAACAGGAGGCAGTCAATGTAGTTAATAAATACATTTCAAAATAATGACACAGAAAGCATTGGGTGTTTTTTTTTTTTAAAGAGTCCAGAGCGTTTCAAATGCAATACTTGATTTCAATAGTACAGCTAAAAACACCTGAGAGATACGGCTTCCTTCTCTGGAGGCCTGTGCCTTCCTTAACTCTTCTCCCCATATTATGGAAGAGAAATACAGTCTAGCACAGTGTTTGACTTTGAAGATCAAGCCAACAACAAACCATCCTTAGATTTCAAATTTCACAGCATCACAGGAAAAGTTAGCCTGGGAGGAGCACCTATCCAGTCCTTTCTCCTGCTTACAGCGGGACTAACTTCAAGCTGGATCAGTTTTCTCAGAGCTTCCTCAAGCTGAGGTTTTGAGGAGCACCTTGGATGGTGATCTACTCTGCTTTGCCAGACAGGTGGCTGCACGTTTTGAGAATACGCGCCTGGGATGGTATCAGAACAAGTGAGATGGAGTTTAGTGTTTCAAGCACGAAGCAGGTTGACAATGAGCGACAGCATCCAAAGTCAGGATGTCAGCACCTAAGTTTAAGTCAAGTCCTGCTTCAGGTTCCTAAGCCCCGTTTTTAGATCAGGCTCTTGGCCTCTCTGCTTGTTTTTGTGACAGAAGCTTCACAAAAACCAAGAAATTAGAGTTAAACGAAGGCCCTTGAGAGTTGCACGCACATAGGATTAACTCCAGTGTCCAAAGGAACTTAACATTTGGTGCTGCCTTCAAGGTTGCTAATAACAACACAGATAGAAGTTCCACACGCAGTGACAACTGCTTTACCGTGATAAAAACTCTACTTTCAGGCACACAAGCACTTGATAAAGAAACAAAAGTATGAGGACACAAAGAATCTGGAAGATGACCAAACGTGCAAGATCAACAGTGGAAAGAAGTAAAAGAATGTCCTGGCTCAGCACTAAAATTAAGCACTTTCAACTTAAGCAGGCTGTAACATAAAAACAAAAGGTAAGCTTACCTTCCATACCACATCTAGATCATAGCTGGTCATGAGCAGTTCACCAGTTCCAGCTGTCGAAGCATACGTAATTAAGAAGAATTAAGACAAGCTTAATTAGAAAGTGTTATTTTATTCATATCTTACAAAAGCAAAGCTTCACAACATGAACTACACTAGATAGAGTCGATTTCAGAATTAACCTTGTCATCTGAAAACATTCACTACACAAAATTTATTTTACAGTAACTCTAACAGGTTTCATTTTTGCATACAAAATATGCTCTTTACACTGAAATACATATTATTAACAAAGCCGGGACTTCGAAGCACATACACAAAGATTGCTCAATGAAAAATGCTTCAGCAGGGAACAGATTTCCTGCAGCAGAACATCCATTTGCTGTAGATTTTCAAATAAGCTTAAAATTAACAGAAAACTTGCCAGTGAAGACTTCTAAATTACATTCCCTTCGTCAAAAAGAAAAACAAAACAAAACAAAAACCAACCAGGACCAAATTCCTCCAAACATTCTGAAACAAAACAAACAGCAACAGATCATTTTGCTAGGAAACAATGTTGGAACACGTCCTCCAGCACTGAGTTTTATGTTAAAATGCCAATCAACATTTTACGTCAAAATCCTCTTCATCTAAACATTGTATCTGTGAAAAAAACCCACAACTTTTTCCCTATTAGCTGCTTCACAGTTGGTTTAAGTATTAACTGAGATAATCCACCAAGATCTTCAGTCGAATACTTGCACGTTCATTGGGATACTCAGTCTCAAAATATTAAGTCTGTATTGAGAATATTATGAATAGTGCAGGTCAAAAATGTCAACAAATCTATACAATAATCTATTACAATCAAAACAAAGACCCCCACAAAGTTCATGTTTCGCAACTACAGAAGTTAACAGAGTCAAGCTATGGAAAAATTTCAGCTCATTCCCAAACTTGCCTGTTAATACAAGTTAAAATGCTAATCACCACCTCGTAAGGATTTGGTTTTTAAAAAAACCCAAACAAATTAATGGTTTTTTTTAAAAAAGAACTAATTAGTGCAGTGTAGCACAGGGAGAACTCAATCTGAAAAGTCCGACTAACCGAGGACTCCATCCATGATTCCTGACTACCTCTCACTGACTCCGAGTAAGGCCTGCTTGTGCAAGGGAATCGTCAGGATCATACTCCGTAACAACTTCCCAGTACTAATTCCTGGTCTTTAAATTATAGTAAGCAGTATGTATAAAATCATACAAAAAGACACCTTCCAAGCTGCTCAGTAGACAGAAGGAACCAGATTAGTAGCGGGACCGTTTGGCACAACCCGACACACAGTATTACGGTGAAAAGTGAAGAATCCCAATCCAGGGGGTGACCCTCTGGGCGGACGCATTACCTAGCAGGGATCTGCCCACAGATCTGGCTGCAGAATCAAGGGATGAACACCGAAGCCTGCTGCTGCCTAAGAATGTCACCTGCCAACAGGAGCTTGCACAAGGAACGACGGAACAACAGTTTTATCTCTGTCCAACAGTTTCTAGATGTTCAGGCTAATGTAATTTTCCTTGGGTACTTTGAAGCAGAAACAACGGTATGAAGTCAGCAGAATTCAAATACATTTGAACAACAATTTGTAAGGTTTGGGAGTACTTTTTTTTTTTTCATACTGAGTTCTATTATTAAGCACACATACTCCTCCGCAACAGAGGATCACCTCCTAAATGAGGGCCCTTTTTCAGTAAGGTCCTGCAGGCTTCCTCTTGCTACCACCACCTCTACTAGTGACCTAACTTTTCTCCCACCTAAAATTCCCTTCAGGGACATCATGGTTCAGAAGCCATTTTTGTAAATCATTAGCCAACGCAAAAAGAAAAGCATAATGTTTACAGGCACTGCCAATGAAAGTCCTAATGGATCTGAAACCGCGTCAACGGAATGGAAGGACGACATCTTAAACGTTTGTGCACACAGGAATTAATCTCCCTACTGGTACCAAGGGGAAGAAAGGTGGGAGCTGCAAACCAAGGAGAGTTTAGCTGTTGTAATCGGCATCATCCAGTATTAGAAGGTGCTCCTTGGAGCACCACCATTTCAGAAGTCTCCTTGGAGTTGCTAAAGCCTAGGAATGAAACATTACATCGTCTATCCAAGGGCAAGGAAAATGACCTCTATGCATCTCTAATTGTAATGGTCTTTAACAGTAACGTTTGTAGTATCGTATTTGAGCCAAATTCAGATTTTAGGACATGTCAATATAGGGTCAAAAGAGAGCTGCTCTCATTTCTACATTATTTTCTGACTGGAAGCGTCATGTTTTTATAAAAGCTGTACAGGAGCAGTAAATTCCTACTGGATTCTAGTTCAGTCAACTTTTAGTCCTTAAAATAAAAGAGACTGTATATTTTTGCACACAGAGTTGCTGTTTTCCTTATAAATTGTAAAAGTACAAAGCAACAAAGAGATATTTGGGAATTATAAAGAGTGTCACTATGAAAGGACAGAAATTATATTCTGATTTACAAATCCACCAAAACGGGTTTTGAACCAGGCCTGAAACCAAAAGTGTTTTTATGAGCGATAGTGCATTATCATTCGTCTTCACTACACTGGAAATACTTCAATGGCATATTTCTGACCTCATTACTACAAGATTATGTGCAGCCAAGAATCCAGTTCCTTCAACTGGTCGCTTAAGCACGGAAAATTCAACAGTAGGTAAGTTGGGTAGAGAGAAACATAGTTAGTTCCCAAATTTCTAATTCATTAAAGTCAAAATCACCTCTAAAGGTAAAATTCTCAGAAGGGTGGTTTTTCCTGTGTTGATCTTACACTGAAGTCATTGGAAGTTTTCCTATTGGCTTCGGGAAACTCTAGCTCCCATAACAATATAAATTTAAATAAGCCAAACATTCGCTATTCAGATTCCAACCTCTGGCTTGCAGAACATGGATCAAACCTTCCTGCTTTTAACAAAACGCATTCACTGCCGTATTCTGCTGATAGTAAAAGAGGAATATATAAGGGAAGCTTCAATTTGTCTCAAGTAAAACAAACTAAGGCAAAAGTGCATGTCTAAATACGGGAGAAGTAACAGTTCTTCACTTTCTGGAAACACTACAAATTCCTGCGTAGCATATTAAAGAGTTTTTATTAATTTTGCCAGGATGTTTTATTGCAGTTTATATCAAGGTACCTGTCCGTTAGCCGAGGTGCTTCTAAGATGTACAGCAGAAAAAAACCCAAACACGTGCAACGGACTTTCTTTAGCCACCCTTTGCCACCCACGATCATTAATGCCAAGGACTTCAGACGCAGCCAGCAGCAAGCCTTTGCCTACTGCATGAACAGTTCACAAACCCCAGAAGCCCTTCCCCTTATTCCCAGTACACCAAAAGGACAAATCTGGGGGGAGAGGACGAGACAAACTGACTTCCAATCTATCCGAAGTTCACGATAAAGCAGGTTATACAACTTTCAAACATACAGGCAACCTATCAGCTGTGGCCTGGCCCGAGATAAAACTGAACGAGTGATTTTTAATTTGTAAACCTCTTGTCTGTTTCTATTAGAACTTCTATCAGCAAGACAGAAGTCCAATTGTGCAAATTTTAAATATCTGTACAAATTAATTTAAGGCAGTTAAAAATCTCACGGAATATATATTAGTTCTACAAGCTCTTTATTATGACTGTTTAAAAATTACCTCCTTTTAAAAAGAATGACGTGTAAAAATTTTGGTAAGCGTAAACTAAGGTGTCATGTTTAATTATTCCTTTGTACAACTACTGAATGACAAGCTTTTAACTCTTTCGCTATTCCTACCAGAGTCTCATTCACAAAAACCTGTTATATTCTAGTTTTGTGATGTTTTAAAAATAATAGTTAAATTAGTGTTTGAGCCCTAGCATGAAGAGTTTAGACTATACTAAGCAAAAACTTAATATTAACCTTCAACGGATTAAAGCAAGTTTTATATCGAATTGACTTTGTATGTGAAAGTTGCTTCTGTTTGTTTTTCTAGTTTAGGGTGGGTAAGTTTTTAAGTAT